GTCACTGTGCAAAAATGTTAAAAATGAAACGTGTCAGGAGCTAGTAATTAACATGGTGATTTGTACCAACTACAGTTGAATACTTTGCTTAGTGACTAGATTCATGTTTTGGAAATCTGCCCTATCATCAGGAGATTGGTTGGCTTGGTACTGAAGATGATAAAACAATTTCTTAGTTGGCATTTAAAGGGCATTCGGCACTCCAGAAATGATTGAAATAAAATATTTAACCTGTTTAGTTGGCATTTCAACGCATCCAGACACTTTGAATTGAACCAGGATGGTTCAGAAATACCTTCACAAGCGTATGGTTGTATTTATTTGCTTGTTACTAGCATAATTAGGCCTTTAGGAAACTCGTTTTGTTCATCAGTTTATGTTCATTTTATTCCACAAATGAGTTCTTGTGATATTTATCTTTCTCTGACTGGCTTATTTCACTTAGCACAGTGGTCGGCAAGCTGCTGTTTGCCGCTCTGTTGACTAATGAGTTTGCTGACCACTGCCTTAGGGAAAAACTTAAAAAACATTTTAATAATGTACTAAACTTCTGGGTAAGGGTAATGCCTTACTCAGTGGTCAGAAAACTCATTAGTCAACAGAGCTGCAAACCAGTTGCTGTTCACGAGCCGCAGTTTGCCGACCACTGGCTTAGCCCAATGCTTATTATGAAATATTAAACACTATGATGTCAGCTCCATGAAGATAGGAATTTGGGGCTCTTTTTAAAAAATATATTTTATTGATTTTTTTTACAGAGAGGAAGGGAGAGGGATAGAGAGCTAGAAACATCGATGAGAGAGAAACATCGACCAGCTGCCTCCTGCACCCCCCCCCCACTGGGGATGTGCCCGCAACCAAGGTACATGCCCTTGACCGGAATCAAACCTGGGACCTTTCAGTCCGCAGACCGACGCTCTATCCACTGAGCCAAGCCGGTTTCAGCGAATTTGGGGCTCTTGTTCACTGGATCCCCACACCTAGATCAGTGCCTAGCACATATCAGTTCCTGGCTCTATAAATATTGGTAGAGCCCTAGCTGGTTTGGCTCAGTGGATTGAGTGTCAGCCTGTGGAATGAAGGGTCCCGGATTCCATTCCGGTCAGGGCACATACTGGGTTGGGGGCTCAGTCCCCGGTGTGGGGCTTGCAGGAGGCAGCCGATCAATGATTCTCTCTCATCACTGATGTTTCTGTCTCTCTCCCCCTCTCTCTTCCTCTCTGAAATCAATAAAAAAATATATTGGTTGAAAGTCAAAATGGCTCCTTGGTCCCCTACTCTGTGCCAGGTGTTCTATGCACAAGAGATACAGCAGTAAACAAAACAGACCAAAAATCTCAGCCTTCTTGGAGCTTACATTTTAGTGGCAAATGCTTCTAGATTTTAATATATATATATATATATATATATATATATATATATATATATATATATATATATAGTGATTTCAGAAAGGGAGAGGGAGAAAGAGAAACTTCAATGATGAGAGAGAATCACTGATTGGCTGCCTCCTGCATGCCCCGTACTGGGGACCGAGCCCACAACCCAGGCATCTGCCCTGATCAGGAATCAACTCTTGACCTCCTGGTTCATAGGTCAACTCTCAACCACTGAGCCAGGCCAGCCAGGCTACTTCTAGTTGTTTTTAACAGCAAATATTGAATAAAATAAAATATTTCTCAAAGAGCCGAAGTATAAAATAGGTAAATATGGGCTCGGTTTGGAGAGAGAGTGGGTGCATCTGATTATTTGATCCAGTTTTCTACCTCCCCAAACCCTGGTTTGGAAAGCACAATTTAAAATCCACTGCTTCGGACTACTTAGATTGGAAATGAAACATCAAACTTCTCAGGGAGCTCTTTGCCCCTGAGTTTTATTCTTTTTTGTATTCATGCCACTCTATGCAGTCTGTGTCCTAGCACTTAGTAGGCTCTCAATTCATATTCATTGGACTAAAATTGAGTCAGTGATTAAAAGCTAGACAGCCCTAGCTGGCTTGCTCAGTGGTTAGAGCGCTGACCTGCGGACCAAAGGGGTCCAGGGTTTGACTCTGGTCAAGGGCATGTACCTTGATTGCAGGACTGCAGGCTCCTCCTGTGCCTGGGCCCTGTTCGGGACTCATGCAGGAAGCAATCAATCGTGCGGGAGGTAATCAATTGATGTGTTTCTCTCACATGGATATTTCTGTCTTTCCCTCTCTTCCACTCTCCTTAAAAATCAATGGAAAAATATCCTCAGGTGAGGATGAACAACAATAAAAAGCTGTAGACAATTCAGAATCTCAACTCTTGCTTTCCTTATAGCTCAGATGTCCTGCTTTTCTGCTTAGTCGTTTGGGTATGTTGTTTAATTTCGCCTGAATCATTTTGGTCTCCTGGAAAATGGCACGGTTGCCAAGGAAACTGGATCAGCTTGGACCAGGGCCTGTAAGTCATTCTGCATAGGTGATAGTAATCATCAGAGCTGTTCTCGGAGAGGCATTGTGGCCGGAAGGCTTTTTCCTGGCCCGTCAGGGTTTCATTATCACCAGCTGATCTGAAGCACAGGTTTGTACATTTTGAAGATGCTCTCCAGCCATTGTGATTTGCACTCCTGGTGTTATAAGAGCCACCAGATTAGTTAAAAATCACTAGCCCTTGGCTTTCTGGAATTGAAATCAGTTGGATAGCGGCGTAATGTGCTTTAGACCAGACAGAAGCAATGTGCTGTCGCCGAAAGAGCAGCGTGACCCAGGTTTCTGCTTCCCAGTTCTGTGGCCCTGAGGATGGCACCTCATTTCTCTAAGCCTCCGTTTCCACATCTGTAAAATGGGGCTTACATGGTCAGATTGTGATGATTGTGGAGAATATGCTACACGTAGCCTTATGCCTGGTACAGGTAGAAGGATGCTCAATCAGTGCCGTGTATGAGTGATGTGCTGGAAGAAATTATCACAAGGGACTGCATAACACTGGACTGCCCTCACCCCACTGGAGTTTATCACAGCTCTAGGCTTCAATATGTTACAGTGTGATGTGAGGAATTTTGGTTCCTTTGCCTGGATATCAAATACACCTTGCTTCGCTATCTGCTTACCAGTGTCCGTCCCCTTGTATGACTAACGTGTGACATGACTCTCTCCTGTGACCCGTCTCCCTTTACAAAGGCTGGCAAAAGCTTACTGCATTGAAACTCCTGTCAGACTTCAGAAAACTACCATTCCTTTACAACTCAAATGAAGGATTAGATTTAGTTGGGTTCAACAAAATTATCGAGGTCCACAGGCTCTAGGGCCAAAATCCAGGTCTAGCTCCTTCCAGCCACGTGACCTGAAGGACAGGAATGTAAAGTGGGGATAGCAGTAGTAGTTGTGGCCGCCTAAGACTGTTTTTTGGGTATGAAACGAGTTAGTGCATATAAAGTACTCGGGACATTGTGCGTGTTCAATATCTGTTAGCCATTGCTCTTCATATCACTGTGCTCTAGGTCTTATGTGGGAGCTGGGAACACAGAGATAAAGGCTCTGGAATGAAGGAAGTTGGTGCAACTATAGAGGGACACACAGAAGGGCACTTAATGGTATGTCTCTCCAGGAAGAAGCCTGGCATAATGGAAAGTATGAATGTCGGCATCAGATGAACTTGGGTTTGAACCCTGCCTTCGTCACTCACTCATTATGTAACTTTGGGGCCACCCAATTTCTTGCAGCATTCATTTTCCCACCTTTAGAAATGGGGTTAAGTTGCCCAGGCCAGGTTGCTCAGTTGGTTAGAGAATCGTCTCGTGCACCAAAAAGGTGGTGGGTTCGATTCCCGGTCAGGGCACATCCCTAGGTTGTGCGTTTAATCAATGCCCGGTTGGGATGTATACTGGAGACAACCTCATGTCAATATCTCTCTCTGTCTCTGTCCCTGTCTCTCTGTCCCCCTCTCTCTAAAGATCAATAAAAACATATTCTCAGGTGAGGACTGACAAAATAAACATGGGGTGAAGTTTCTGATACCTACATGATGGAAGTGCCCTTGGTGCTCTTAAAGCAAGAAGTCATTTTTTTTTTAAATAGACTTTATTGATTTTTTATAGAGAGGAAGGGAGAGAGAGAGCTGGAAATGTCGAGAGAGAAACATCGACCAGCTGCCTCTTGCACACCGCCTATCAGGGATGTGCCCGCAACCAAGGTACATGCCCTTGACCGGAATCGAACCCGGGACCTTTCAGTCCGCAGACCGACACTCTACCACTGAGCCAAACCGGTTTCGACAAGAAGTCGTTTTTAAAGGGGAGTTAGATGAGCTTCGGTTCAGGTTCTAGCTATATGGTGGTTAACCTTCCTGTGTAAGTTTTTAATCCACATCTCCCTTGCCCATGGTTGTTCTGATGCTGAGATAATTTATGTAAACTTATGTGGGGTATATAGAGGTGCTGAGCAATAAATAATAGCTTTTATCTTTCTATTGTAGTTATCTTCTGTTATTGTTTAAAGTATATAAAAACTTATATACCATGTTAATTTCTTTTAAAGAGGCTTAGGCCTCTCAGTTTCACGAAAGGAGTATAAAAAGACTGGGCATTTGAACAAACCCAAAGATAATTCTGCGTTTACAAGAGAGGCTTTAAATATAAATACACACACACACACACACACACACACACACACGTATGTATGTATTGATTTCAGAGAGTAAGGGAGAGGGAAATAGAAACCTCAGTGATGAGAGAGAACCATTGATCGGCTGCCTCCTGCATGCCCCACACTGGGGATCGAGCCCGCAACCTGGGCAAGTGCCCTGATTAGGAATCGAACCTTGAGTGACCTCTTGGTGTTCATGGGTCAGTGCTCAATTGCTGAGCCACTTCGGCAGGCAAGAGAGAGCCCCCCCCCCTTTATTTTTTAACTCTTCCGTTCCATCTCATATAATCTTGTTTCAACAAACTGTAAAATCCGTTACGAACCCTCCTGACCGCTAACCAGACGCAGCCCCGCTTCTGTGGCATGACCTTGTTCTCTGCTTCCCTCCTAGGTCTTTCAGAGCCTCGAAGACCACCATCTGGAAGTGGTGGCTTTTTTCAGGGAAAATGGCTTCCACGGCCTTCTTGCCCATGACTCCGAGTACGCTCTCTACAATATTCCCTTTTACTACAGTTCCCATGCTCTGAAGCTGAGCTGGAACGGGAAGAACCTCACTACCAACCAGTTCTTGATGCAGGAGGTGGCCAAGCAGCTGGGCCTGAAGCGGATGAGTTTTCCCATATTCGCTGCGCTGCTAGGTAGGTGGTTCAGAGAACAGATTCCAGTGATTGGTTTCCCCTTCTGGTGCTACGAGATGAAGACCAGAGCCATCTAACCTGTCATCATTGGATTTGTCTTCTGAAAATTCTCCTGCCAAATGCTATGCTGCTGAGCTTTTTATAAAATTACTTTCTTTTTTAAAATATTTTTTATTCATTTTTTTCTTTTTTACAGAGAGGAAGGGAGAGGGATAGAGAATTAGAAACATTGCTGAGAGAGAAACATCGATCAGCTGCCTCCTGCACACCCCCTACTGGGGATGTGCCCGCAACCAAGGTACATGCCCTTGACCGGAATCGAACCTGGGACCTTTCAGTCCCCAGGCTGACGCTCTATCCACTGAACCAACCGGTTTTGGCTGAGCTTTTTTTTTTTTTAATATTATTATTGATTTCAGAGAGGAAGGGAGAGGGGGAGAGAGAGAGAGAGAAGTATTAATGATGAGAGAGGATCACTGATCGCCTGCCTCCTGCATGCCCCCACTGGGGATCAAACCCGGAACATGGGCATGTCCTTGACTGGAATTGTACCTGGTACCCTTCAGTCTGCAGGCCGACTCTTATCTACTCAGCTAAACTGACTAGGGCAGCTTTTTTTAAAGTGTATTTTTATTGATTTCAGAGAGGAAGGGAGAAGGAGAAAGAGATAGAAACATCAATGATGAGAGAAAATCATTGATGAACTGCCTCCTGTACACCCCATGCTGGGGATTGAGCCTGCAACCAGGGCATGTACCCTGACTGGGAATGGAACCATGACCTCTGGGGTCATAGGTCAGTGCTCAACCATTGAACCATGCCAGACAGGCTTCTGAGCTTCTTACTAGAAATTTAGCATGTTTGCCTTATGAATTCATGGATGATATTCCAGAACATTATTTTAACTCATCGGCACTCTTTTGTTATATTCCATAACTATTTTATGCAGAATACTGTCTTAGGCCAAATGTTTTACTAACCCTGGGCAGGTTTAGTTTTCCACTCAAAGCATTTCCCCAGTGTCTAAATCTATCTATCTATCTATCTATCTATCTATCTATCTATCTATCTATCTATCTCTATTTAAATCCTTACCTGAGAATATTTTTCCATTGATTTTTAGAAAGAATGGAAGGGAGAGGGAGAGAGCAAGAGAGAGAAACATCAATGTGAGAGAGACACATCAATTGGTTGCTTCCTATAGCACCCTGACCTGGGCCAGGGATTGAGCCTGCAACCGAGGTACATACCCTTGACTGGAATCGAACCTGGGACCCTTCAGTCCATGGGCCGACACTCTATCCATTGAGCCAAACCAGCTACCAGCTAGGGCCCAGTGTCTAAATTTAGATCAAGAAAACAAATTGCTATGTTTTTCTCTTTGCTTCTGTTGTGCTAAGATTTTATAATGAAAATTTCCAAACATAAGCAAGCTTGAAAGAATTTTATAGTGAATATCCTGTATCTGCCTCCTGTTTTCTGCCATTAACATTTTACTATGCTTGCTTTATTCTATATACATCCATTCTAGCCTTCTATCCATCTACCTTTTATTTTTAAATATATTTTCATTGGTTTCAAGAGAAAAGGTGAGGGAGAGATAGAAACATCAATGATGAGAGAGAATCATTGATTGGCTGCCTCCTGCACGCCCCTCACAAGGTATTGAACCCCCAACCCAGGCATGTGCCATGACCAGGAATCGAACAGTGACCTCATGGTTCATAGGTCATCTGACGCTCAACCACTGAGCCATGCTGGCCAGGCTATCCATCTACCTTTTAAATGGCAGAGAGTTGATTGTTTTGAGTTGATTTTCCATGTATTGACAGCATAAAGATTAATATCTTGTCATAGGTGTGAACTCTTATTTATAATCCCAGAGGAGTTGAGCTTGGATGGTCTGGTGCAGTCAGCACAAGTTTTGCAATTAGGCCTTGGGCAAATCACTGAAGTCACAGGTAGCTCCCTGGTTTCAGTCGCCTCCCCTGTGAAATGGGATAGTAAATACCGCATGGTGTTGTTATAAAGTCAAGAGAATCGAGATATGAAAATGCCCAGCACTTGGCAGACAGTACCTGGTGGCTGCTGTTATAAAAGACAGGATGACTAGGTCATAGAAAATAACATGAGCTTAGGAGTCAGACAGTGCTTACATTCTTATCCTGGTCTGGGCACTTAATTAACTATGCCACCTTAGGCTGTCACCAAACTTGTTCAAACCTCAGTTTCCTTATGTGTAAAATGAGAGAAATACTACTATCATATGTGGTTATTTTGAAGATGATACATATAATGCATGTGATGCATAGTACTGTGTTTCCCCGAAAATAAGACATCCTCCGAAAATAAGACCTCGCGCATGGAAAGATAAGACATCCCCTGAAAATAAGACCTAGCGCAACTTTGGGAGAAAAAATTAATATAAGACACTGTCTTATTTTTGGGGAAACATGGTAGGTGATCAACACATAGCTACTGTAGTCATTGCATGAGGTATATTGGCCTGTGTGAACTACTTGATGATTTTTTAAAAATATATTTTATTGATTTTTTAGAGAGGAAGGGAGAGAGATAGAGAACTAGAAACGTCGACCAGCTGCCTCTTGCACACCCCCTACCGGGGATGTGTCCACAACCAATGTACATGCCCTTGACTGGAATTGAACCCGGGACCTTTCAGTCCACAGACCGACGCTCTACCACTGAGCCAAACCGGCTTCAGCTACTTGATGATTTTCTCTCACAGAATCTTTGTCAGGCCCTGAGGTTCTAAGAAAACATGTGCAGCCAGTAAGTGATAATATGTTTTATAGGTAACCACATTCTCCCCGACGAGGACCTGGCTGCTTTCCACTGGAGTCTCCTGGGACCAGAACATCCCCTTGCATCACTTAAGGTACTGTGCCCATCTCCTGCTGATACAGCCATGCCTCGGGGACCTCAGGCTTTGATTGGAGTCTTGTTAGAACAATTATCTTTCATTAGCCTTAAATGACTTCTAATACTTAGCAGATACATTTTATAATTCTGATTAATACCCTTTAAAGAGGAAAAAGTTCGTTTTCCACCTTCTGTGTAGGGGAAAACCCAGCTCTTGCCTCTTGTTTTTCTTTCCTGTGTGTGTCCTTGACTTTCACACTTCCACCACGCTCATTCAGAATACATCACTTCTGCTGCTTCTGGTCACCAAACGTGCTGGGGTTTTCCCCACATCAGGCACTTCTCTGCAATAGCAGCTGGGTATCCTACAGTTGAACTCATTTAAAATTACACACACACACACACACACACACACACACACACATATACACACATACACACACACATATATATTTGATGACTACTTTCTCTTTTTATTTTTACTGTTTTTAAATATATTTTACTGATTTTTTTACAGAGAGGAAGGGAGAGGGATAGAGAGCTAGAAACGTCGATGAGAGAGAAACATAGATCAGCTGCCTCCTGTACAACCTCTAAGGGGGATGTGCCTGCAACCAAGGTACATGCCCTTTACCAGAATCGAACCTGGGACCCTTCTGTCCACAGGCCGACGCTCTATCCACTGAGCCAAACCGGTCAGGGCTCTTTTTCATTTTTAAATACATTTTTATTGATTTTTAGAGAGAAGAAGGGAGAGGGATAGAGAGAGGAAATCATCAATTGGCTGCCTCTTGCACAGCCTCCACTGGGGATCGAGCCCACAACCTAGGCATGTGCCCTAACTGGGAATCGAACCGTGACCTCCTGGTTCATAGGTCGACTCTAAACCGTGCAGGCCAGGCACCTCACCCTTTTCCCTAACAACCCATGTCTGATGCCAGTGTTTCTTGTTTATATGAACTCTTCTAGGTTCGAGCTCATCAGCTGGTTCTTCCTCCGTGTGATGTGGTGATCAAGGCTGTTTCTGAATATGTTAGTGCCATCAAAGACCCCTCTGACCTGGATGTGGTCGGGAAGGATGTTTTCAAACAGTCTCAGGTGAGCTAGCCGCCCCTTCCTTCCTAAGAGTAGCCAGTTTTCTTACCTTCACCAGTACCACCAGCAGATCCGATCTTTCCTGGGTAGGCTCCCTCCTCTCCTCCAGCTGCTTGTCTTCTCCATGCATCCAGACCAGAGCCCCAGAGCTTCCTTGAGAAAACATTACTAGGACTACATTGAAAGGATTCTTCAGCTTTTTTCCACTGACTATCAAAGCTATGCAAGCTCATTCTGGAAAATTTAGAAAATAAACAAGGAAAAAAAAAAGTCACTTAAAATCTAAAATCTCATTACCCAGAAACAACATGCTATATTATCACTAGCATATATCCTCTTACTCTTTTATTATTATTATTTTAACCCTTACCCAAAGATATTTTTCCATTGATTTTTAGAGAGAGGGAAAGAGAGAGAGAAAGAGAGAAATATCAATATGAGGGAAACACATTGATTCGTTGCCTCCTGCAGGAGCCTGCAACTGAGGTATGTGCCCTTGACCAGAAATGAACCTGGGACCCTTCAGTCCACAGGCCAACGCTCCATCTACTGAGCCACACTGGCTAGGGCTCTTTTCTTTATTTCACTGTATATTTTAATATAAAGGCAGTCTTGCTTAGTGTAGGATAATGGGTAATGAGAAAGACTACTTAAAGTAGGTTCACATAAAACAAGAATTGATATTTCATTGTTAATAGTGACAAAAGAGCTTGACTATAATTTTTGTCTTGTGAAACGAAGTTAGGAAAATAAGTTACTTTTCCTTTTCTTTTAAATATATTTTTATTGATTTCAGAAAGGAAGGGAGGGAGAGAGAGGGAGAGGGAGAGGGAGAGGGAGAGGGAGAGGGAGAGGGAGAGGGAGAGGGAGGGAGGGAGAGAGAGAGAGAGAGAGAGAGAGAGAGAGAGAGAGAGAGAGAGAGAGAGAGAGAGAACATCAGTGATGAGAGAGAATCATTGATCAGCTGCTTCCTGCACGCCCTACATCCCGGCTGGACCAGTTCTATGAATTTTTAACATGTATAGATTTATGTAATCACTATCATATTTAGGATCAGAGCAGTTGAACCACCCTATCACATTTAGGATCAGAGCAGTTGAACCCCTTTGCAGTTACACCCAAACTTAGCCCCAACTCTTGGCAACTATCGGTCTATTCTATGTTACTATGGTTATAACTTTTAGAGAACAGCATATGACTGGAATCATTATAGTATATAATCTTTTGAGAACATCATTTTCATTCAACATAATGTCTTTTCCAGTCTTCTAAGTTTTTGCATATTGCATCCAGCAATAACTTATTCATTTTTATTGCCAAGTAGTATATATTGTGTGGGTATACCTTTGTTTATGCATTCATCCTAGAGGATATTTGAGTTTCCAGTTTTGGTTAGAGCTGCTGTAAACACTTGTGTATAGGTTTTTGTAGGAACATACAATTACGATTTCATTTCCCTACGAGTGGGATTTTTGGGTCATGTGGTAAGTATATGGCTAACTTTATAAGACTCTGCCAAACCATTTTCCACAGTGGCTATTTCATTCCTCATACGCACATGTTACTGTCAGTATTTTTGTGGCCATTCTAATTGGTGTATTGTGATAGCCCATCATAATTTTAATTTGCTTTTATCAAATGATTAATGATGAACAGTTTTCTTCTGTTTATTTGCTGTCCATATGTCCTCTTTGGTGAATGGTGTGTTTGTTAATAGTCTTTTGCTCATTTTTTTAATTGGGTTGTTTGTTTATTTCCTGCTCAGTTTTGAGAGTTCTTCATATGTTCTGTATACAAGTCCCTTGCCAGATATCTGGTTTGTAAATATTTTTCCCAGTCTGTGGTTTGTCTTTACATCCTTTTTAAAAAAAACTATGGCTCTTTATTTTCACATGGACACTTCAAAGAAAGTCATTACTAGCTTTTTTTCTTCTTCTTTGGTGGGCTTTTAATTTTTTTTTTTTTTTGAGAGAGAGAGAGAGAGAGAGAGAGAGAGAGAGAGAGAGAGAGAGAGAAACATCAGTTTGTTGTTCCACTTGTTGATGCATTCATTGGTTGCTTTTTGTATGTGCCCTGACCAAGGATCAAACCCGCAACGTTGGTGTATTGGGACAACGTTCCAACCAACTGACCCGCCTGGCCAGGGCCTACTTTTGTTTAATGTAATAAAAAGAAGAAAACTCACACAAAAACATTAAATCTTGGGCTTAAAGGAAACCCATCTATCACTAGGAGCCTGGTTGAAGGATTCATGCTTTTAGAAGGGACATACAGTGCAGAATTCTCTAGAGAGAAAAGCAGTTTTGAAACGAGTTGGAGAGCTCATTTCCCAGGCTCAGAGTGATTTGAGGGAGGTGTCACAGTGCTTGGCATAGGGTGATGGGATAGTGATCGCTGACCAGGGCCTTGGAGTGGATCTTGCTGTCACACAATGCAGGTAACAGAGAGTAAGACACCAAAAAGTAATTAAGGCGCCAACCAACATTTTTTATTTTTTTATTTTTAAAAAAATATATTTTATTGATTTTGTACAGAGAGGAAGGGAGAGAGATAGAAAGCTAGAAACATCGATGAGAGAGAGTCATCGATCAGCTGCCTCTTGCACACCCCCTACTGGGGATATGCCCGCAACCCAGGTACATGCCCCTGACCGGAATCGAACCCGGGTCCCTTCAGTCCCCAATCCGACGCTCTATCCTTTGAGCCATACCGGTCTGGGCTAACCAACATTTTTTAATTGAGCATTTATCATGTAGGTCCAGAAAGTATAGGCATAGATTGTGTTGGGGTGGAGGTCCCAGAAACTGTCAGCCAGTAGAACAGCCTCTCTATCAGTTTCCCAAAGTTGTGCCACTCTTTTATTTTATTTTATTTTATTTTATTTTATAAATTTTATTGATTTCAGAGAGGAAGGGAGAGGGAGAGAGAGGTAGAAACATCAATGATGAGAGAGAATCACTGATTAGCTGCCTCCTGCACGCCCCCTACTGGGGATCCAGCCCACATCCCACGCATGTGCCCTTGGCCAGAATTGAACCTGGGACCCTTCAGTCTGCAGGCCGACGCTCTATCCATTGAACCAAGCCAGCTAGAGCTGTGCCACTCTTTTAAAAAATATATATTTTGAATGATTTCAGAGAGGAAGGGAGAGGGAGATAGAAACACCAATCATGAGAGAGAACTATTGACCAGCTGCCTCCCACATGCCCCACGCTGAGGATCGAGCCCTGACCTCCTGGTTCACAGATGAAGCTCAGCCACTGAGCCACGCCAGCCAGACAAGTTTGGCCACTCTTCTGGAATGGAGCCAGCATTCTTTTTGTTTCCCTTGGGGTGGCGAAGGTCAGTTTCCTCATAAGCCACATCGAGGTCCCATATAGCGCAAGGAGCCTGCAGGAAGCCAGGCCCTTCAGGAACTTGGAAAAGGCTCCATCCCAGTGCTGCTGGTAGTCCAGGCACACCAGATCTGGGCCGACATTAGGTACATAGTCTGTTACCAGCACAGACGTGTCAAATCCAGCCACAATCACAAACGCATCAAATTCCGCCAATACCATGGGAGACACTGAGTGGCCACTGGTGGGAGAGCAGGCCCACGCCACTGCACCCTTCAGAGTCTGAAGGAGCTGACCTGATGGGGTGGTCCATACAGCTCCTGAAGTTCAGCTGGTAGATTAGTCTCTGAGCATTGGGACTACTGCAGGCCCAGGATCTCTGGGCACCTTCCTTTATCCAGTCTAGACCTTTCTCCTTAATCCAGGCCTGAAGCCCAGCCACATGCCAGGACTGTGCCTCATTTGCCCCTGGGTGAAGTGTTCCGATCCGGGGATGCCTTCATACAGGGCTGGCCCCTCTCCTGCTGCCTCTTTTTCAGTTTTCTTTGCTCCTGCTCCCAACTTACTCTTCCTCACCCTTGGGCTCTTTCCTTTTGTAAAAAATATATTTTATTGATTTTTTTTTTTTACAGAGAGGGAGAGGGATAGAGAGCTAGAAACATCGACAAGAGGGAAATATCGATCAGCTGCCTCCTGCACACCCCCCACTGGGGACGTGCCCGCAACCAAGGTACATGCCCTTGACCGGAATCGAACCTGGACCCTTGAGTCCTCAGGCCGATGCTCTATCCACTGAGCCACACCGGTTAGGGCTGGGCTCTTTCTTATCTTCTCCACCGCACCCCTTTTCCCTAACTCCCCACCCTTTTCACCCCGTGGCCCTGTGAAGCAGTATTTCTTCAGCATTACTTGCTCAAGACCTTGTCTAGTTCCTCCTCATCTGAGCACAAAGAATGAATCCCGGTCTCTACTTTCTTTTTGCAGACAAAAGTTTAAATTCGTACCAGTTTTTATCTTTTATGGATCATGCTTTTGGTGTCATCTCTAAGAACTCTGCAAAACTGCAGGCAGGACAAATTCTGTTTCCTTCTAATAATGATATAGTTTCATGCCCTGACCAGTTTGACTCAGTGAATAGAGCATCGGCCTACGGACTGAGGGGTCCCGGGTTCCATCCTGGTCAAGGGCATGTACCTTGGTTGCGGGCGCATCCCCAGTGGGGGGTGTGCAGGAGGCAGCTGGTCGATGTTTCTCTCTCATCGATGTTTCTCTATTCCTTTCCCTTCCTCTCTGTAAAAAATCAATAAAATATATATTTTAAAAAGATATAGTTTTATATTTAGAATAAATAATTTGTTTTGAGTTCATTTTTGTATAAAGTGTGAGGTATTTCAACACACTTCACTGAAAAGGGTGTCTTTTTCTCCTTTGAATTGCCTTTGTCAAAAATCACTTGTCCATATTTATGTACATCTGTTTCTGTTCTATTTTCTGTTCGTTTGACCTGTGTGTCTGTCCCTTTGCAAATAGCACGCTGTCTTGAATACTGTAGCTTTATGATAAGTCTTAACACTGGGCAGTGATTCCTCCAGTTTTATTCTTTTTCAAAATTACTTTGTATGTTCTATTATTATTTTTAATTCTCACAGGAGGATATGTTTTTGTTTG